TGAGAGGAATACGTCGAGTTACAAGTCACCCTGTATATTCAGAGGAATTTACAGAATTGAATTATAGTCATGTGTGGATCCGCTCTGCACCGGCTCATTTGGAGCACTGCCGTAAAAATTGTGAATAGGCATTATTATAGCATATATATAAGGCGACGCGTACCTTGTGGTGCGCGCGCGTGGCGTGCGCGACGCGGCGGCAGTTGTCGCAGAGCGCGCCGGCCTCCAGCGCGGAGCCGGCGCACGCCGCGCACTCCCAGCGCGCCAGCGACCCGCACACCGTGCACTGCCGCGGCACTGCACACCGACGACCCACCATTGTTTCACATAGCCAGACCGATCTAATGGGACCTACTGTATTTTTACTCCCCAGATGGCGCTAGAGTACGGTTCTCGTTTTTTGTCCAATAAGGAATTGGCTAGTGTCACACCATTAATTCGCCATCAGTCTGGAGACCAAAAATACGGTAGCACCCATTGGTTCAAATCACTCTGATAGTGGTCGAATACATCGGATCACGAATTTTGATTTCGTTGATGATCGCTAAGCTCATACTAATCTATGATATGTACATTTGTACAGACAATAACTACTAACAGTGTAATAACTATTTTATGCATTTGTAATATAGATTGGACATTAAAATATTACTTACAGCCTTCTATTAAATCTGTGACATCTAAAAGGGGTGATGGTATTACTTTTTGGTATAATTTGTATTGTTTGCCAAACCGTGGCATTTGAATGATGAAAGCTGCTGGAACCTGTAACAAATTTGTAAAATATTTACAGATTATTCTGAATTTTGCAACAACCTGACAAAAATTTAACTACTAAAATATTGTCATTATTTAATCCGCCATAATGTTACTTTGGTAAATTCCTACCTCACTAAGTTTAACTCCAGATGTTGTAAATGACTGTTCTAAAAGCTGCTGCACAGTCGGGACTGACACATGTTCATCTTTCTCTACAAAAAGTTGATAGCAGTAAGCTTCTTGTCCCGAAGACAGTTTCAGGAACGGTTCAGCTCGTAGCAATTGCGCTACTAGGCCATTTAAGAATTCTTCTGGATCCTATAATAATACACAAGAAAATAGATAAACTCATGCGAAAGTGACACGTAATTATTTATTGAAATTAAGATAGAAAAACATTTATTTCACTTACATACAAAACAAGAGACAATCCTACTAAAAGCTGTAGCTGTAGTATCTACATGGTTATTATTGTTCCATTATTTCAACTATGGCCCATATAAAATATAATACTCATTTATTTATCTAGTATATATATAAAGATTAAAATAATATAAATACTATAAAGGTTATAATACGGGTTGATCGCATATCCATATTGATATATGTATATGTTTCTTATTATCTTCAGCTTCGTAATCTTACCTTTTCTTCAGAGGTGAGTCCAGGCACGTCAGAGAGTCTTTCGAGTAATGTACGTAATTTCATGACCCTATCAGCACGCACATATCCATGCTTTCTAAGGGGATTCACAATTTCTTCTCTCAGAACACGTTGTACTTCGGAATAATGCGGAGAATCCTATAAGAAACAAAAAATTTGGTGTTATTTTGAAGTCAGGGAAATTAAAGTAGATATAATAGGTACAGGTACTTACTTCAGGTTCGGGAGGACGGTATAAAAGAGCATCGAAGACACTTGTGAAGGTGAACATGGCAAAGAGAGTAGCATCAAGATAGCATGAGTTATGGTGTCCTTGGATACCACGGTTCTTGCCAGCCAGCTCGCCGAGCGAGTTCAGAGGGGGCACCACACCTGGTACCACAGGACATTCCGGCTGAAACATTCAGTTTACTTGAACACCATTGAAAGGTTATCAAAGATTATATTAAGCACACAACATACAATTTATAATATGTTCTGTGATTTTAAGGTACATCTTTTTATCTTTTATCTCTTGGAGGTAATATGTTCCTGATACCTACCTGGTCAAAGTGGTCAGCATCATGAGCATCGCTGCGGTCAGGGGGCGGTGTATCGCGAAACCGCGCGTCGCGGCGGCACAGCGGCAGCGGCACGAACAGCGCGCGCCCCGCTGCACACGAGAACAGGCGCGCGCCGCCGCGGCTCCCGTCACCCAGCCCGCACACGCTTTGTTCTAGCTCCACTCCTGCTGTCGCTGTGTCTAAAGACGAAATAATATTTACACTCTTGATTAAGTAACTCGAAACAATTATGAACGACCAAAATATGGACTTCGGGTGGTTGTTTACTTACCATCAATAACTCCTATCCATCTGACTACACCGTAATAATGCTGGTCGACATCGGTCGCGACTTCCACCAGTGATCCGACTCCGATATCTTCCGGGACATGGACTGGTGATGGTTTAGACTGTGGGGGAGCCGCGCGAGGCGACCCAAGTGCCGGCGAATCATACAACTCTTCGGGGGCGGCTTCCGCATTACAAATATCTATTGGATAATAAATTAAATTACATATGAAAATAATGAAAACATACCAAAACAAAGAAAACTCTGAAACTAAAAAATCATACTGAACAGTAATTTGGACCATTTTGAATCTAGGACACTGACTTCACTTCCGGAAATGACATGTTAATTTACTAAGCATAAATATTTCGGATATTGCGCGAAAGGTAGAATTTATAAGTGGTTTTGACCATACATTGTTCACATTCAAGCACACAGAGTGGTATTTCATCGATAGATAAGTCCTGTAAATACGACATGTTGGTGGACGCTGCACAACACGAGCGTGCCAGCCGGCCGGTCGCCCCCTACCACACTAGTGCCAAAATTAGAACCAGAAGAGCTATTATTGGAGGTGGATAGACGCGAGTTTTGCGCTCAGTATTCTAGCATAACATTGAAGTGTTTGTCAATATTAACTAAGGGGTAGCCAAGTGCAGTGATATTATATTTATACAAAGGCACAAAATGAATAAACCAGTAAGTTTACTGTGATCTTCTTGTTGCGTAATTGTATTACTAATACTAGCTGAAATAAAAATTATTTAACACAAATGTTGAGTAGTGAGTATAACATTGACATTTACAAAGTCACCTCATAATTTTTGTAACCCCAGAAATTAAGATAGGAACATAGTTATTACTTATTAATTATAGTATATGTAAACAGTAAATCAATAATCAAAACTAATGAGTAGAGGGCTCCTGGTAAATGCAATTAGTTACTCTGATTAGAGAATTATGTATGATATGAGAAGATGGAATTATGAGGAATAAAATTTGGAATTTCATTAAATTATATAGATGTTTGAAATGGAAATTTCATACTTATGTATTGGTATATTAATGGGTAATTTATATTTTTAAGTAATTTAAAAGACATTTTTAGAAACTATTATAATATTTTTTTCTAGCCATTTTCTAAATAAACAATATGTATATTAGACTACAGCTAAAGTTGTTACTACGTTTTTGGTCCTGTATAATACATAAAAATAAGTTTAAAAAATAGTATTAGTAAAGTGGTGCATTAGACAATAAGTTAAAGTAATCTGATGTTGGCCCTAAGACAAAAATAATTAGCGTACTTAATTTGGTGTTATAGATAAAATTAAAATAGACCTCATTTATGACTCGTTTATTAGTAACAAATTATCTAATAATCTATTTTAACTCGTTGAGTACCGTCATTATAGACACATTTAAAGAACAATAGGTTGCGGTCACCGGTGACCGCTCGGTGTTTGACAGTTTAAAGACCTAAGTTAAGAAAGAGAGAAAGAGAAAGGAAGAGATATTTTTACAGTGTTTTCATACAGCCGGTAAATTTTTTTTTATATGACTAAGATTTAAAAAAATTATAACTTCCTTTTACATTACTGTTTGTCTAAGTTGTATGGCCAAAAGAAGATAGTAAATGAGCAATAATTATATATACAAACCTACTAAAATTCCAGTTTCAATCTTCTTTGGCTCATGAACCATTTTTGGCTGTATATCTTCACTGACTGAAGGTGTTTGTGTATTGTAATTCGGTTTATTGCGTCTTCTTTCTGGTGCTAAATGAGCCAGTAAATTTACAGACTTGATCCGCTCAGTTTGAGGTCGCTGCATAGTGCCTTTGTAATTTCTGTGCAATGATCCATACTCAATTTTCTCAGGCTCTTTCGGTGCTGGTGGCCAGCTTCCTCCAATTAAATTAAATAGATCTACCTAAAACATTACACACATTTTTATTGTTATGATTACTTTCATAAAATTACACCACTTTATAAAACCCTCCATATGAATTTAGTAATTTGTTAAAGATTAAAACATTATTAAAAACATGCTACACATGCAAATGATTTTAATAAAAAAAATATCCATCAAGGAATATTTCCCAAGATATAAATATTTGAATGTACATCACACATCCAATAAACCAATGTTGCATGCAGTACCTAAATAATAATTTATTTTCCAGTTGTTTGCCAAGTGAGAACCAAAATGTAAGGAATATACGTATAATAACAAACACTTTTCAGATTAGACCACAACAGAAATTTACTTTAAAATGGTTATAACATTTAACTTAGTACAAGTGCATTTATTTTTCTTTTGTGTTGTTAGTAAATAAAACATTCATAATTATATGGTTTTATAAAACCTGTTGGGTGTCTCTGCTGTGATTGTTATCATTTTCTGTTGAGTTTTCACCTATATCGTTATTCATTGTCGTCAATTGCTGTGCACAAAACAAATCACTACGTTCTTATTTAGAATAAAGTTCTATAATTATAACTATAGTAAAGATCGTTTGTTGTTTTCTACTAAAAAGAACGATACACAACCGACCTGATTTTGATGTATTTATTAATAATTAGAATTAAATTGAAATAATTATCAAGTAAACGTAAAGTAGGTCAAACTTCGTGTTTTTATCATTTGTCGTGTCAGTGTGACATTATTTTGATGTTTATTTGACAGTTTGACAGTTATAGAAAACTTTCAACCTTTCCTTTCTTTCAACGTCCTTGCTTTCAGGATATCAAAATTACTTAAGATTTTCTAAAAAAATAAGTCATCTAAACTAGAACAAAATAAATAACACAATAAAAAATACAAGTTGGTTGAAAAATGTACCTCTGCATCGACAGTATCGCCGATTTTATATCGCGCAGTGTAAAGGAACTCTAAATTTTTATTAATTTGACCTTTTGTCAATCACCAATGACATCAATGTCAAGTAGTTGTCAAAAAATATAAATAAACTTGATCGCTTCATGAAATTAATTTATTTTCCTTAAATTAAAATAGTTAAAGTCACACATAAACTATTAATTTGATACATATTTTAAACATGTTAATGTAAAAGGTACTCTTTCTTTAGAAGTAATACTTGAATAAAAATTTTTACTCATTTATTGTGCAAAAGTGCAAGGATGCATCAAGCATGTGCCTGCAATTCTCAGCATAGTACTAGAACTTGTATAGTATATATAATATTGAGGAAACTTCACTGTGTAAAAATATATATTATATATTATCTTACAGCCGATCCCAGACATAATGATTCGTCAAGGAAGTATTGATGATATAAATACTCAACAATTTTTAAAGATTTCTAATTATGAAGACACAGTTCGTCAGCTGGATATATACTATGCCATAGGTAAGTTAATTTTACATTCTATAACAAAATCCGTACTAATTTTGGTGCCCTCTAAACTGAAGCTGTAAGTTTAACTCTCTAAAACCAAAATAAGAATCATTAATACTAATCAATTATTCCTAAAGAGTGTAGGAGTACGGAAAGTACTACATTTGCAGTATAATATATAAAAATTCTAATTATAGCAATTTAAATAAATATACACTACTTGAATAAGACTTTTAATTTAAAATATAATGAGATTAGCAAGTTCTCAGAATGCTTTTCTAATTGGAATCTTGTTTTGCAGTAAAAAGGCAGTTATTAAGATTTCAAAGTCCTATAACAGGATTATTTCCAGTTTTATCATCGGACCTCCACATAGGCAGTGTGAGAGATAGTATATACTGTGCATCTGCCGTGTGGGGACTGTATCAGGCATACAGGTAATGATTAATCAATTGATTCATACTGTAGCTATTTGCTAACAGACTTGTAATGAATTAGGTGGTTGAATCCTTTTTGGTGCATTTTTGAACAAGTTTTATTTCCTGTGAATATGAGCTATGAATGTCTAGTTTAAAACTGCATTTACTACTTACCGTTTTACTGAAACATCTACATATACAGTAATTGTAATTTGGAATTTATTTCCTGAAAATGTCTGTTATTAGGAACTGTCTTTAAAGTTAATTATTATGTTTTCGACTTATTCACGTAATTATTTATGAGGCACTCGACTAGTTCTAGAAACTATTTTTAGTATGTCTCACAAAAGTTATAATACAAATTCTTTATAGTTTTTAAAAATTATCAAGCTTAAAAGTTAAAACACATTCAATTCTGAATGATAAAACTATATTTGTTTATGATTATTTCAGACGCATTGATGATGACCGGGGTAAATCTTATGAACTGGGTCAGAGCACTGTGAAGTGTATGCGTGGTATCTTAGAGTGCTGGGTGAAGCAGTCGGCGCGAGTGGAGGCATTTAAAACACGACAGAGCGCCGCCCACGCGCTACACGTCAAGTTCCATCTCACCACAGGAGAGCCAGTGCTCACAGATGAACAATATCATCATCTACAAATAGATGTTGTCTCTTTATATTTACTGTTCCTTGTACAAATGATCACATCTGGACTACAAATTATTTACACCCAAGTAAGACTAACATAATATCCATTTTATAATAATGTTTCTAATGCAAAAGTGACCTACATACCTATATAACTTTATACTTACAGGATGAAGTGGCATTTGTTCAAAATCTAGTATACTATGTAGAAAGGGCATACAGAACGCCAGATTATGGTATGTGGGAAAGAGGATCTAAATATAATGATGGAAAGCCAGAAATTCATGCCTCTTCAATTGGTAGGTCATACAACAATAGTGTTTATTAATTATGTTCTTATTAGGAATAGACAATTATTACTTTAAATAATTCAGGTATGGCAAAGGCAGCACTAGAAGCTATCAATGGATGCAATCTTTTTGGGGATAAGGGAGCATCATGGAGTGTAGTTTATGTAGATATTGACGCCCATAATCGCAACCGAAGTATTTTTGAAACTATGCTACCACGCGAGTCAAGTTCCAAGGTATGTGGAGTAGATAGTTACTTACATTCAGTTACTTTAAAAATACACGTAGTGGGAATGTAGTCACTGAGATTTCGGTAATTTTTAGGGGGTCGACGCCGCTTTATTGCCAACAGTATCGTTCCCGGCTTTCGCAACACACGAAGAACATTTAGTTCAGTTGACTAAAAACAATATCTTGCGACGTTTGCAAGGGAAGTGTGGATTCAAGAGGTTTAGTCGTGATGGGTATAAATGTGTGCTAGAAGATCCCAATAGGCGGTACTACCATGAAGGGGAACTCAAAGAGTTTGATGGAATCGAGTCGGAGTGGCCCTTGTTCTACGTAATGATGATTATTGATGGCGTGTTCCGCACCCTGCCTGATCAAGTTGAAGAGTATCAGAAACTATTGAAAGCTAGGATTTATATGGATGAATTTGGAGGTACCTAAGTTATTTTACGATGACGTATTATTCATATTGATTGACATTTAGGCTGTACAGTGAATTCAAAATAATGATTTTATTTCAGACCCAGTAATTCCTTGGTACTATTATGTACCTCGAGAAGGCATTGAAAATGAACGGAGTGAACCGAATTCAGTTCGGCGATTACCTGCAAGTAAGCTTTAATCCAAGTACCTATAATAGTTGAAATAATGTGTTCATTGATCGGTATAAATAACTAATAAGTACCTACTTATAACTGGCTAAAAGGAGTAATTTTTATAATAATCACAACTTATAAACCAATTATAGGATTAATAAATCCTTACCACGACAAGACGTATTAAATTATTATGTTTTTCGGCTTACTCACGTAATTATTTGACAATAAACTCGACTAGTTATAAGACATGCTAGAGGCCCATAGGACATCGCGGAATGCTGCTAATGAATATAATAATTACACGAGTAAGCCGAAAAACATAATAATTACTTTAGTATGTCTCACGAAAATTATAAATACGTATTTGACGGTGTTTAATTGTCAATGAAAAATATTCGTTCTAAATATTTGAAAAACTATTGTGTATCCTAAATTCTTATCTTAGCGGCATAAAATTGAACTTAATACCTACATTTAGTAACAGCAAAAAAAATACTTTAAAACATTAAAACATGTGTAACTTAAAATAATTCCAGATCATCCGAGTGACGGTAACGACAAAGGTAATCTTGTAATGACATTGAGAATGGAATATTTTCTTCTTGTTTAACACTTTCCTCGTTTTCCTTTGTATTTAACATATTATTAAAACTTCTTCACAAATAAAAATAATCTATTTACTTTGTCTATAACAATATACCTCTATATACTTAATAAAAAGATTTGCTAAAAATTATTTAACTACTAACAATTTTTTCTTTCGAATAAATTGTATGGTGCAGTGTGGCTAATCACCTTTCAAATTAATATTTTATCACAATAAAATATAGTTTAATTCGTTGTAGCGGTTTTATTTATAGTAAACAACTTTTTATGCTTAGATATAATTATGTATTCATTATATTGAAGTTTTACTGCAATCTCCTAATGGAGTATAGATACAGATGACTGATAAAACAATTAAAAATAGTTATTATGATATAATATCTAATATAATGATAATGGAACATAGCAATAGTGTACATAGTTGGGACTTGGTTTTTCATTGTTATTTACTTGGCACGGTAGATGAAATTCTAAACTTTAATAATGGTTATGGATAACGAAATATAACAAAATTTTTGAATAAATAAAAATAACGATTTCGCTTAAATATTAATTCAAGGTAGTTAGTGTACATAGAAAATGCAACTTATTTCTTTGAATTAAGGTTTAAAATAGTTTTCAGTGTTCAAAGCTCACTAGTTAACAGTAAATATGTTTAGACACAGGTGGATTGTTCCTGTGGGCGCAGTCATTGTTCGTCTTGGCTCAGTTGTTGACTGGCGGACTGCTGCATGTGAACGAGTTGGATCCCATCAGGAGATACCTTCCTTCGTACAATAGGCCGCGACGTGCCGGCAGATACTCTGCCTTTCAGGTGAGCTGAACTAAAAAATATTTAAACAATTTAAATTATTATCAAAAAGATTGACCACAGAAAGCTCTATGAAGAAACGACTGGAAGGAAGGTAGGGAGGCCTTTGCCCTGCAGTGGGTCGATGAAGGCAAATTAATTGTTGTTCCGGGTCTAGGTGTTTGTAAACGCAGTCAAAACAGAGAAAACCCTAGAAATAAATTATATGAGTATCTACTTAGGGCCAATAATAGATATCCTACGCCATATTGGATCTTAGGATATTAACACCGAACAGAACTGAAGCTGAACACGTTTGGATTTTTGTCTTAGGATTATTAGCTTGTGATAACACATATTAAACTGACTTTCCTACCCGAAATCAAGTTCGTATCAGATAATTCTCGACTAGCGCGTAAGTGAAATCACTGGCAGAAATTAGTTGTGCAGTCAAGTAACCTATTACCAAGTTATTTCTATATGACTGGTTTTTAAATATTTTTTTATTACTTTCATGTAAAACTTGCAGGCCAAGCCCGCGTTTGTAAGTATAAGGAGTAAAAGTATTTGCATGAGCAGCAGCCTACAACTACCTACAATGCAAAAGTGCACAGCATCAATATTACGTTATATTATGCAAAACTTATACTCGCAACTACCTTACTTATATGCGTTTATGTATTTAAAACATTAGTAGCGAACAAGTTAATTGTTTATGCTTTCTGAAATCGCTTTCGTTGAGTAATAGTGACGTTCTTTTTGTGTCTAGATGCCTACAGTGTACACTAGGTACCTTTTCGGAAAATAAGTACTAATAAGCGGATTATACGTTTAGAAAATTTGTAGTTACTGCATTTCTTTATGTGCGTCAAATGTTGCTTCTGTGTACGCTCAATGTGTATTTAATTAATGCTGAAAGTTCAATAGTATGTTACTAACCGATATTTTCACTGTACAGGGCATAGCAACTGATCTAGTAGTCCAAGTGGTGTTGATAGCAGAGTCTATGCGTCTCCAGGCCATGATGGGGACTTATGGCATACAAACACAGACGCCACACGAAGTCGAACCCGTTCAGGTAATTTTAAAATACTTAAATAATTATTTTTACTACTTAATTAGCTTTTGCTAGAATCGGCTGCCATCTGGTCTCTACAACCCTCTATAATGGTGATGTTTTACTGATTTGTGGATGGTTAAAATCAAATGCTGACCCTAAACACAATAATGTAAAAGGTCAGGAGAAAGAAAAAGAAGAACACGTGATCATTTAACTACAATTTATTCTGATTGGTTCACAACACTAAAAGTAGATTATTTCCATAGGTGTGCAGTTCGACGCAGCTGGTCCACGTGTACAGAGAACTCGGAATATGCCCCAAACTGAAGCTCTCTGGGCGGCCAATAAGACCCGTGGGCTCCCTCGGTACCAGTAAGGTAAGCTGACTTATGCATTCCTTTGAAAAATCATAACAATTGGTTATTTCACGTACCCATATGTAGTAACGACCCTATTACTAGAACTACATAGGCGACTGTTGCAGACCTTGTTATGTGTGTTGAATGACATTTTTTGCACCCTGAAAAATATTCAGCGAATTCCAGATTAGGTGTACATGGTTCATAACAAAAAACTATACTAATAATGATTACAGATATACAGGGTGTGCGGTATGACGGTGCTATGCTACCCACTCATATTTGAAGTGTCCGAGTTCTACCTCTACAGAGACATGGCCTTGCTCATTGACGACATCAAGACTGAACTACAATTTGTTGGCAAGTAAGGAGAACTACTTTAACTTAACGCGCTTGTTTAAAATTACGTAACTTAAAACAAAAGTCAGTAGCAAAGCGAATATGCAAGAATAGTAAGTTGGTTAAATTTGCACATGTTTTACACATTATAACTGTGTGAAATCCAATACTGTGTCATTTATTTCAATTCCATACCGTGAACAATAAAAAATTGTCAAAATTAGAATGAATGCACTCTCCTACAAACTCGGTTATTGCAAGTCCCGTAACTCGTGAAATTTCTATGCTATAGCCATTTGTTCTATGCTATAGCCATTTGTTCTATGCTACTAAATACAACTTAAATAAAGTGTTGTAAATTAGGTACTGGCGCCTGTCGGGTCGTCCGACAGTGTGTCTGTTGGTGCGCGAGGAACACATGCGCGACCCTCACTTCAAGCACATGCTCGACCTCTTCGCGATGCTCAAGAAGGGACACTGCGACGGCGTTAAAGTACGACTTGGAAGGCTGCAGAACCTGATCTCCAGCTCTTGTATGGGTGAGCATTATTTTTGTTCAAAATTGTCTAAATATTTATCTAAATAGTCACAAATTCACAATACATACCCCTGAACGTCCCAAATATATATTTCGATCTTTCGGTTTGCTCCATTTATCAATGTTTCGTCTAAAACTACCTAACGTTTAATAATTTGTCCATAGAACATCTGGACTTCATGAGCCAGGGCGAATTTCCTTCCGAGATGTTCACTCAGTTCCGTCAGTTGGAACACGAGTACATTGGCTACCAGTCTCTGACAGACGTCCCCCGCACCCTCACGTACCGCGAGGAGAATCTCTCGTACGACTCGTACAAACATCGCTCCACACCCGACGTGGTCTCTGCGCTGAGGTCCATCGACAATATCTTTGCTCAGTGCCAACTCTGGGGGATACTCATAGAAAGAGAGGGTCCTATGTTTGAGGTACGCATACTTTCCCCTTGTTAGAGATTTATATTTTTTGATAACGTAAATTCGTCGACAAATGATAGTTAGTTATACAAGCGACGCTGACTTCGTTTACTATTTATCCATTTTCACCCTATTCCATAAAAAAGCCGTAAAAAGAACTACAGTCAGCACGTCAAACTATACTAAACCAAGTTTTGAAGAGATTTGCAATGTTATTGCGAAATAATAAGGTTGAGAATCCACCCATTTGACTTATGGTAATGCTTGTAGGTAAACGGTACGAACGCGCTGGAGTCGCTGAAGAGTCTGTACCACAGCGCGGGCGTGCTGCGACACTGGCGCGCCGTCAGGTACTGCTCGTCTCTACTCAACCATACTGTCGACTCCATCAGCCCCTTCATCACCACGGTGCTCGTCAATGGCAAGCAGGTGACAAGCTCATTATTAGTTTTTCAAAGTCAAAAGTCAAAGCATTTATTTCAATTAAACCATAGTTTGGTACTTTTGAAACGTCAACAAATACAAAATAAATAATAGTCTGTCAGTCAGTCCGTCAGTGAAGCTAGGTGAAGCTAGGTGCTCATTCCAAAACGTAGATTCGAATGGAGAAGAACGAGCAAGAAACTCCATTCGTTACTCTTTTAAAAAAGTATGTTCTACAATGTCTCTGATACATATTTCAATACTGTACGCATATGTAAGAACAATGCAAAGACACGCTTGACGCATTATACTAATAACTTACTAAAATAAAAATAAAAATAATAAAGATCTTAAGTCCAACATGGTGCTCACATATGCATACTGACAATCCATAGAAATAGTGCTTCTATACAAGAAAAAGGAAACTCTTTGTTTCAATAAAGAAAGAAATGCTCGATGCCATAAGGAAACTAGATTGTCTACATTAGAATTAAAGTATTAAATTATGTATTATATTACCTACTATTGGAATTTAACTACTGACTACATTTGAGTATTGTCCAGTGGAGCCGAACCAACATGCTGCCAAGCATTCTTATCTTCAAGATAATCTGTCAGTGTGTAGTAAGCTTGATTACATAATTCGCGCTTAATATATGTTTTAAATTTACTTTCATTGAGATCTAGTATGCTATTTGGTATTTTATTATAGCATTTAATACCTAACCCCATAAAGGATTTCTGTACTTTGGACAGTCTGAATTGCGGTATAGCTAACTTATTTTTGCCTCTAGTATTAAAATTGTGTCTATCGCTTCTTTTTTCAAACAATTGCCTATTTTTCCTTACATACATTATATTTTCATATATATATTGACAGGGCACCGTTAAAATATTTATCGTTTTAAACAATTCTCTCAACGATTCGCAACGGCGTAAGTTATATATTGCTCGGATAGCCCGCTTTTGCAGAATAAATATTGATTCTATTTCTGCAGCTCGACCCCACAACAAAATGCCGTACGACATAATGCTGTGGAAATAACTAAAATAGACAAGCCTAGCTGTATCCACGTCCGTGAGCTGTCTAATCTGTCTAACTGCAAAAGCAGCTGAGCTCAATCTCCCCGAAAGCGCCTTTATATGCGGACCCCATTGTAGCCTATTGTCTAACGTAATGCCTAAAAATACTGTCTCGTCGACAAATTCTAACTTTTGACCGTTCAAAACAATATCACAATCGTTACTACGCACGTTTGGTAAACTGAATTTAATACATTTTGTTTTTTTTTCATTAAGTGCTAGATTATTAATGGTAAACCAATTATGCACTTGAAGAATGGAGCTGTTTACGTCGTCAAGATTATTTGTACGTCGATCTACTTTAAAAATTAATGATGTATCATCTGCAAAAAGCACCATTCTTGGTTCATTTTTAAATATAAATGGCAAATCATTTATATAGACTAAAAAGAGAAAGGGACCCAATATTGAACCTTGAGGAACGCCCATATTCATCCCAGAGCCCTGTGAGTTAATACCGTTAACATGAACCTTTAACTGTCTTTCTTCTAAATAAGATTTCATAAGACGGAGCGCAGAGTTTCTTATCCCGTAATGATCTAATTTCAGCAAAAGTGTTTCGTGGTCAACGCAATCAAATGCTTTTGAGAGGTCACAAAATACACCAATAGCATCCTGTGCTTCCTCCCAAGCACCAAATATTTCCTTAATCAAAGTGACACCGGCGTCAGTTGTGCAACGACCTTTAGTGAAACCGTATTGTTGTTGGTGAAAGATGGAATGTTTATTAAAATGATGAAGCATCCGAGACAGCATCAACTTTTCAAAGACTTTGCTGAGAACCGGTAAAACAGACACTGGCCTATAGTTGTTAGGTTCTTTAGTGTCACCACTTTTAAATAGTGGGATAACCTTACTATATTTCATTAGGTCAGGGAAAACACCGTCATCTATACATTTATTGAAAATCACAGCCAGATATGGCGCTACAGTTTGGATAAGTGACTTGCAAACCATTACCGATAAGCCCCAAAGATCCTCCGTTGATTTAGTCTTGATTTCTTTAAAAACTTTTATAATTTCTAGAGGATTCGTATATTGAAAACTAAAGTCGTATTGACATGATTCTATGTTGTTCTTAAGCAAAGTTACAGAGAGGTTTGCTGATGACTTTAAATGTTCAGTTGTTTTAATAGGAATACTAGTAAAAAATTTTTCAAACTCCTGGGCTACATCTACGTTTGAAGAAATCTGTCCCCTTTCGGTATTTAAATTAAATAAATTCTGAGTTTCTTAATCTTTTCCTACCGGTCTCGTTGTGTATAACTTTCCAAGTAGTTTTTATCTTATCATCAGACGATTTTATTTTATTACTAATATAAAGACGTTTCGCGACTCTGCATACTATTCTAAAGGTTTTTGAATAAGATGTTACATACTGGTGAAATTGGGGGTTTTAAAAGAACTACTTCGCTCTTGGTGAATATTCCTTTATTTATTACAATATTTTCATGACTACGTATACCGGTCCAGTTAGTACCTATTATGGTAAATAAGACAATCTATATTCTGCATTAACTTTGTTACTAATAGTGAATTTCTTCTAGGGCAATGACAAAAATAAAAGCTTTATTTTCTTCTTAAACAGCTGACTGTGGGAGTGATTGGTCAGAAGGAGACGGTATTTGACAAGCCCATGACTCCTGGCGAAATACAGTCGGTGATGTACTCCACTATACAACCGTACGACGTCATCGGCGCAGTATTACAACAGGTACCTATTTTCATACAGTCAATATAAAATTATTTAAATTTATAAATAAATAAATTTCAATCTTTATTTTTAACTAGCGACCTGCCCCGGTTTCGCACGGGTGCAATATGCATGTATTATACATATAAACCTTCCTTAAGAATTTTAATTAAAAATTAAATTATTAATTAGTTAAATTTTAATTAATTAAAAAAACCGCTTGAAAATCCATTGCGTAGTTTTAAAGATCCAAGCATACATAGGGACAGACAGACGGCGGATAGCGACTTTGTTTTATATTATTTCTGAAGCTTCAAAAATCATTATATCTTGTATTGAGCTTGTTTGTTACTCCCGTTAGTTATTGGGAAACTTCAAGTCTAGAAAAAACTAGAAATATATTGTTGTTCAAATCTATTGATTGTTAACAAAACTCCAATTCTTTTTACTAGGAAATCGTGTTATATTGCGGACGGCTGATAGGAACGAACCCGGACATGTTTCGAGGTATCCTGAAGATCCGCGTGGGCTGGGTGTTGGAAGCTATCCGTATATACTTGCAGCTGTTCCCCAACGAGAAGCGCGCAGACGGCACGCTGGAGAGCCTCTCGCCTTACAAGCTTCGCACGCTGCTACAACAAGTTCTCACTGTTTCCGACTGGGCAGAGGAGAGAGGGTAATTATATTCTTTATGAGAACAGCGTATTACTTTTTCATCCATTGGTCCCGTGTAATGTATCTTATTTTTACAAATTATTCAATTAACATTTTAAACCTTTCTCAAGAAACACTCAATGCATTGGTAAGGGTTGCATAAAATCCTTTTTAATTTATCGCGAAAAGACAGAAACCCAGTATAAGCTGTGGTATAAATCCTTATTGTTAGATACTTTATTGTACACCTTACATACAATATAGTACAAAGTTTATTGTATTAAGGTTGTTATTATAAAATCCATAATGAGGTGATAATTTTGTTATCGTAACAGTTTGACTCCACTACAAAGACGACAGCTGGAAGGATGCTTGTGTCGTGTGCCAAAACATTTCTACATACAAGTTTGGGATATATTGCTGCGGACACCGAAAGGCATTATTATTCAGGTAACTATGCGATACTTGATCTCAAAAGATTGTTATATAAGGTGTTAATAAATTAACTTCAGGAAATCTAAGGTTTTGTTGTAACATTTATTCCATAATTAATCACGAAAAAATAATTAAAAAAAAAGCTACCGTTCTAAAGTTATTCCACTATTTGTGTTACACGTAAACAGCCTAATATGCGCGCCGTACGGCGTACTAGGCCGTCGACGAAGCCCCGAGCGACCGCGCTGACGCAGGTGTCGTGGTACCGCGCGCTTATGTTACTACTGAACTTAATAATGTTTCATTTTAATAAACGACCACGCGACTCTGTTTAGATTATGTTATTTAACTGAATTGATATGCTTATAATTAAAATAGCATAGCTACAAAGATTAATTATGTAAATTTTTTGAATAGGTAAATACTAATAATAACTCAACCAAAAACCAATACTTCGGTAGTTAGTAGTACTAGTACTAGGTAGTTGGTAGTTACTTAGGTATTTATCATTTACAAGTATTCATCGGAATAAATGCCCGTCTCTAGATACCTAAGTATTAACAAAGAGTCTACCTTATTTACAGAAGATGCTGGAACTTGGAAGTGTCTTCCACTTTGTTCGATGCACAAGTTTGTACGACGCGACGTATTACGTTGTTTTTCACTCGCAATAATGTGTCTCTGTCACTTTTAATAATATCAAACGCGTTTATTATGCTTATTTTTAATTCGTCCGCGTTTCTAATCTCACTACCACTGACGAGCTGCAGATACATTTTCGCCACTTCTAATGTACCACATTAACATGTCTAAGTACTTGCGGTTACTATGCGTAAACTGCATTATTGAATATTGAACAACAAACAATAAAAAATGGCGCGTGCGATTGATCGGACACAACACTGAACGACACTGAGGGCCACACCCTTCCCGCGCGACAGCTATCGGTCAACTGGCGATCGAGAGAGAGAGAAGTGGGAAAGAGAGCGGGGCAACTAGCGAACGGGAGAGAGGGAGAAAGAGAGAGAGATTGCGATAACATGGGGACGGTGACGGCGCGCCATTGCTTCGCTCGGGCCGCAAGCGCAGCCCCACGTACGGTTTGCACAAAAACGTTTAACCAACTCCTTTATTTTTGTTAAAAATAAAAGTTGTTAAAATTGTTAATTTTTTTTTGCTAAACGTGTCAGTTTATTGATTCCCACCAACCTCATAAAATATTTAGAGCGAATTTATTAACACCTTATATA